GCCCTGCCGTTGGTCCCCCCCCCCCCGTCCCGGAGCGCCCCTGCCTCAGGAAAGGCAGCAGCCCAACCGTTGCGCTTTCCTGCGTTGGCGACGCCACCTTTTCCCCTCCGCGCGGCATGGACGGGACCGGGGCGGCGGCCTTTCGCCTTCCTTCGCCTTTCCCCGAGCCCCGCGCCTGCTGTGCCGAGCGACCCCGCAGCCAAACCTCCGCCAGCCCCGCCCTGTCCCGCCTCCGGAGTCAGAAAGCGGCAGTAACCGGAGGAAGAAGAAGAAAAAGAAGGCGGCGAAGGCCAGCCCAAGGCAGGGGCGCCCCGTCCGGTCCTAGCTCCGAAAGATGTCTCACGGGGTGGTGCGGGTGATCCGCACAGACGCCAGCAGCGGGGGCCCTTCGAGCTCCGCTTGCCCGCCGCCCGCCGCCTCGAGCCCGGACGCCGGGCTGCTGGATAGAGGCTACGCGGGCTCTTGCTCAGCCATGCTGAAGGTGGCCCAGATGGTAAGCGCGAGGCGGGACCCGCGGGGAGGCGCGAGGAGGGCCTCCGCTCGGGGCAGCAGCGCAACCAGAACAACAAGCGCTCCCCCTTGGCGCGCCTCCCCGGGCTCCCCCTCCCCCCCGCTTGATTTACTACGCTTTTCTCTCTCCGCGAAGGGGGAGGGCGGCGGCAGGCAACGCCCTCCGCGTGTTCCTGAAGGAAGTTTTCTCCTTTCAGGAATTGGCGCCAAAGCTCGCCGCCGCCTGCACGTGAAGCGGCGCGGCGGCGGAGAGAGAGTGGCGCGGGACCTAAAGGGAGCCCCCTTTTCTCCCACTGCGGCGTCGTCAGAGAACGGGTGCCTTGCCGTTCCTTCTCTTCTTTCGCACTAACTGGAAGCCACACCTCAGCCAGAGGTTTAGTGACAGAATCTGAAGGGTCTGAGGGCGTGGTGGCACTCTTGTGCAGGTGTCTGTATATACACCCAAGAGGAGCGTTCCATAGCCACGAACTAATTGTATAGGATCCCCATGACTGCTACAGGATCCCAGGCATTGTTTACCTCAGCAGCAGCGACAAGGGTGTACATGGGCAACATTTGAGTTTTAACAAAATACCTTCAAGCCAGCTGAAGTCCAGCCTTTAGCTCTTTTTTTAAAAAGTAATGTGCACAAGTTGTGCAAAGAAGTGATGCCATTTCAAAGAACTATCAGCCCTCTGGTTATCTTCCTCGTTGTCTGATTTCCTCTATATAGATCTATCACAAGCAATAGCAATAGAGTGGTGCCTCGCATAGCGAGGTTAATCCGTTCTGGATTAACCTTCGCTATAGCGAAACATCGCTAAATGGAATTAAAAAAGTCATAGAAAGCCATTTCCTATGGCTTTAAAACTCACCGTTAAGCGATGTTCCTCCATAGCGCCACCATTTTCACGCCCTCGGTAAGCGAGGGCAGGGCGCGAAAATGCGGCGCGGACCTTCCGGCGCCCATTTTGGAACTGCCGATCAGCTGTTCTCCCCTGCTTTGTTATGCGATATTCGCTAAGCGAATCGCTTAGCGACTATCGCAAAGTGAAAAAACGCTATAGGGGCCATCGCTGAGTGAATGTTCCAGCGATGGCCCAGAGCCCCTCGTTAAGCGATTTAATCGCTCAGCGGGGCGCTCGTTAAGCGAGGCACCACTGTACTTGCAAAGCTTCTTAAGCCTGAAGACGTCATCTTCAGCTACTTGGAGCTCAGGGGGATTGTTCCTCTTACATATAATCGGCAGCACCAACACTGAAACAAGTCCTGTAATTGTACTCTAATTCCTTCCTCCACTCTGCTCTGGCATTGTCCCCTTTTAAATTGTAGTCTACGCTGGATCAGTAATGGCAATTCAGTGGCATGGTCCACACCATAACAATTACACTGGCATAACTAACTAATAGGATCCTAGCCATCATAACAAAAATGTCAAGCAGTGTAATTAGGAAAGCAACAAGTTTAGGTTTTTTCAAATTTTCAAAAGTAATGCCAAAAAGTTATTTTTAAAATTATAAAAAGTAATCCTAGTGATTCCTATCAAAAAGAAGAAAAACTCTTGTCAGTACTGTTAAGTGAGCTTTTGTGAAAGATATGACAGTGTGGCACAGGAGTGTATCAGGGTGCCATTAATAATTGCACACCATCAAGTCAATTCCATCTTACGGTGTCCTTCCTATAACTTTCTAAGTATAGGGTACACAGAAGAGGTTTACCATTCACTTATTCTGGGAGCACCCTGAGACTGAGCATCTTGCCCAAGGCTACTCAGCCTGGCTCTTCACAGTGAGGAATTGAACTCTCAACATTTGGCTCTGCAGCCAGATGCCTAACTCACTGAACTAAACAGTATGAGAAACTGAGAACAAAGAAATGAAAGGTGTGGTTTATAAACTCCAGTGGAGCTTTCCACAACCCTGGCTGTGCTGACTGGGGATGAATGATTACTCTTGTCCAATACCTATGGAGGGCACCAAATTAGTGAAGGCTGTTCTTAAAAGGTCTTAGCAGAGAGAGCATTTGCAGCCATAAGAACTCTAGTGGTTCATTAAAAGGCCTTGCCAGAATATGTACAAATTCTTACACAAGAGTTTGTACAAATGGAAGTATTTATGAGGGGGTGCTGATAGGTATTGAGCCTTTTTCAGAAAAAATTGAGCTAGGAAGCTATAAATTGCAGGGCGTATTGGCCAATTTGTCTGTATTCAATGGTGCAAAAATCAACTACCTGTTGTTTTAACTTATCTTTCATTTTCCGGTCCAAAATGAACATGGCAGCACCTCCAGAAAAGTTCAGTGTGGAAGAGCATAGGGCCATAATCAAGTTCCTGATCATGGAGGACTGCCGAATATCAGCCATAAGTATTGCTATACATCTGAGAATATCATGTGAGAGAGTTGGTGCCATTATCCACAATGACTTGGAAATGAGAAAGCTGGCAGCAAAGTGGATCCCCAAACTTTTGACAACCGAACAAAAGAGGAAATGTGTGGAGTCATCGGTGGCTGTTTTGGAACATTTTGCAAGAAATGAGTCAGATTTCCTGGACAAACTGGTAACTGGTGATGAGACATGGATCAACTGTTATGATCCTGAGACAAAGGAACAGTCTAAGGAATGGAGGCACAGTGGTTCCCCCAGGCCAAAGAAGTTCTGAGTGCAGAAGCAAATGGCAACAGTTTTTTTGGGATAAGAAGGGAGTGCTGCCGATGGACTACCTCCAACAGGGTTCAACCATCAATGCAAAATATTACTGTGCTTTATTGATGAAGTTGAGGCAAAACAAGGAAAAATGTAGAGGAAAGCTTTCCAAAGGTGTCATCCTGTTGCATGACAACGCCTTGTCACACACTGCAGGTGAAACAATGGCAAAACCGACGTCCTTAGGCTTTCAAGTGATGCCCCATCCACCCTATTCTCCCAACCTGGCTCCTTCTGACTATTATCTGTTCCCCAAACTCCAAAAACATCTAAAGGGACAACGATTTGGAAGTGTTCTGGAGGCAACTAATGCTGCAAATGAGTGGTTACACCAGCAGTTGGAAGAATTTTATTTGCAGGGACTTAAGAAGCTGCAGGACAGATGTCACAAGTGCATTGACTTCCTGGGGGAATATGTAGACTAGTGTGGCAATTACAGCTTCCTAGCTCAATTTTTTCTGGGAAAGGCTCAATACTTATCAGCACCCACTTGCATGTGGACTTGAAGTCAATTGTCTCATGAAGCATACTTTCATTAGGTCAGAAATATCTCCTCCAATGTGTGGAAGCTGTTTTTTTTCCTGAATAGCAGAACAGCCACATTAGATCCAGCTATTTGCCCTTATTCATTTTTAGTCTTCCACATGCTAGGTGAAACTTTGTCTGCTTTTATCTTGAAAAGGTTTATTTCGTCAACATTGGAAAGCTTAAAATGCATAAAAATCTCACAAAGATTCTTGTTAGAAAAATATTTGTTAATTTATTTATATAAAAGCTATCCTTGATTTTCGTTGTAGCATTCTAAAGAAGAAAACAGTTCAGTAGGTATATTTAAAAGAAGGCCTCTATCAACATTAGAAGACTTTCAGTAATTTGTAGAGATCTTTTAAAAATAGCTGGAGGTCTTACTGTTACTGAATTCAACTGTGTTAAAAAAAGGAAGTCTCAAAAGTGTGTTTCCTGTTTAGAAGCAAACTGGAAGATGGTTCACTGTTTACCAAATCTTCAAAACTTACAAAACTAATAACAAAACATGCAGGTTAGAAAAATTGTTACATATAGTGACCATAACATTTGGAGACTTGATGCCATTTTGCTTAAATGAATTAATGATCAAATTACTATATGTATTACTGAAGTTCTTATCTTTTACACTCGTATTATTTTGTACATTAATGTGGATTAAATATGACATCTCCAGATTCCCCCACTCTTTCAGTGTTTTGAGGATTTTTTTAAAAAAAAATAGAAGTTCATTTCCTGTTGTGCAGTGTAACTGGTTTATTTATTCATCATTTCAAAACATTGTGTTTTGATTAAGAATGGATTACTATGGTTATTATTATGATCTGTTCTGGGATTCTGTAGGTTTACATATTCAGTCTAATAGTCGCTTTGCTTCTGGTTCTTCTTTTTTCTTGCATATATAGCTAAGCATCTCTATTCTACATCCTTACAAGAGATTGTTGCTTATGGAGACTGAAAAACCTTTCAGTGTCTTATCTATTAATAAGACTGTATGGACAAGATAAAAGGAAGTATTTCTTTGTACTGCACATAATTAAACTTTTAAAACAAGTGCAGAATCCATGTGCAGTGACTAACAGATAACTGAGTGGGATAGGGCAACCTGGCCTCCCTTGACTTTTGGAAAATGACAACTGATAGATTGTACCACTTAGGTTACATCCCCTTTCTTCCCCCAAAGGAATTATCCATTCCTCTGTTATCTTTTATCTTGAATGGAAAGTTGTTTGTGGCAGTGCTTTCTTCATGGCTATCGGCATGCTTACATACACAGAAGCCAATTGTAGGAGCATTCAAGTGTAGTCTTTATCCTGTTTTGTCCTGAATGGATTACTGTACTTTTGAACCATAAAAAAAGTTTTGCCTTACACTTTACCATATCCATCCTGAGCACCAGTGCTAAATCCTAATTAATAGCCATGAGCTTACCTTACTGATCTGCCACACTCTGCTAATATACTTACCATAAATTCTTGCATAACCTGCAGCATTGTTAAATTGTGCCACAGGATATAATGATATTTGTGGACTTGGAAGACTTTAAAATAATGATGATTAGAATTATTATTGTTATGTTTTCATCAAGCTGTCTTTGACTTATGGTGACCCGATGAATGAGAGATCTCGAAAGTGTTTTATTATATTTCTAGCCCTGTAGATGGCACAAATACAAAATAACCTAATAAATTGAAATAAAAGCTTCCCTCCTCATTTGAATTAATAGTAATTACAGGAGTTGACTCACTAAATCCACAGATTCATTAGGCCTAGTT